ATACTTTCCCTTTCTAACAAATCTTAGTAATTAGAGCATTCATATTGTGAAAAGCCCAGGCCCTTCTCAGCCTGAGGGGGGTCAAACTGGCATCTCTGACTCTCCAGGGCAGTGTCCTAACAGGCGGATCTCATGCTTTTGTTTTCTACATCTAATAGTCATTGCAAAAAAATATTACATGTCCTTGGAGCAGGGATTGGGACCTAGAGTGTTCAGTAGCCTGGCAGCTCAGGCAAACTTCTGGGACACGGATCATTTGAGTTCCCTCCAACAAAGGAAGGAGTTGAACACAAAGTGTTCATACTTGTGCATGGGCTTATATCTCACTGGTATTAGAATGGGGAAACAGTAGCTCTGCCTTCTGCTGCCCTATTTTGAATGAAAGCCAAAGCCTTTTCTTAGTTCCCTTAGAGAGAGGGTGTAGGTCCCTACTCTCAGAAGGGGATTCAGGGCTATTAATCCTAAGTGGATGGAGATTTTAGCCCATGTCTGATGCATGGGGCTGGGATTCTACTGCAGGGATGTCAACTCTTCCTTCCGAGCAGACTTGAGCCTTCCCTAGTCCCTGATTCCTGCACTTGCCTCCTCTGGCCTCCCACAGTCTCATCCCACATGTTCTCCAGAATGTAGCTACAAAGATCCTTTTACCCCATCTGGCCCTTGCTCCAGTCCCAACACTAGGCTCATCACCAGGGATCTGGATTTTCTGTTTACTACTTAAAAACATGGATTTTCTACTTTTAAGGAAAAAACCCTTATTTTCTCCTTTAAGGGAGAAAAATTCAGAAAACAGCAGGTTCCCCTTATAGATTGGCAGGATTCCAGCAAGAGGAGGGTGATTACAGGCAAGGGGGAAGCAGAAGGATGGTGATCACAGGCAAGGGGTGCCATGTGCATGTGTGTGTGCACATATGCATGTGGCAGCCACACAGCATATAGAGCAGCTCTTGGAACTCCCTCCAGGTAAGTCTGGAGGAGGGAGGGCAGATTAAGGCCCTCACGGTGAGGGTGGGGCTGTGCCTGGGGCTGGAGGTGCTGCCCAGCTGGGCCATGTGTGGGGCCTAGGGCCCGGGCGGGAATGTGGGGCCCAGCTGGGGGAGCAGGATGGAACCACTGGTGGTTCATCTAGAGGGAGCGGGGGGCCTGGCTCCCCACTCTGTGCACACTCCCAAGAAGGGTGGCATGGAGGGGCATGTGCCTCCCAGATTTGTGTGGGGTGGGGGCGGATGCAGGCTGTCCACTGCAGGCTCAGGGCTCCCTGAACAGACCAGAAGGAGAGCGGGGGGGCAGGGGCAGGCTTGGTACCACTGTTGGGAGCCCTATGCTGGTTGTGCCACCTTGGCAAGGCACACCCTATCCACCCAGCAGCAGCAGGGGGCACAGCCAGTGTGGGACTTCTGATGGCAGGACCAAGCCTGCCTGCCAATATTTGCTCTGTCCCGCCCTGTCCTGCCTGCTGGGCTGCAGAGGCCCCAGAGGGAGGGCAGCAAAGTGGGGAGCTCCAAGCCTGCTGCCAGCAGCCCACATTCTCAACCCTCCCTGTCCCCCAAGCTCCACTCTGGCCATGCCACTTGTGGGAGGTGGGGGGCAGAGGGCTGCAGGCTCTGGCCCTGATTCCATAGCCCTGGCAGCTGGGGGGGGCCTCCTGTCAGGGCTGGGTGGGGTGGGGTGGGGTAGGGGGCTGTGGCTTGGGAGTGAGGGGCAACAGCACGGACAGAGTACTGGCTTATCAGGGCTGCTCAGTGCCACAAAATGGGGGCAAAACTGCAGCTGGACCCACATCCTGGTGATCAATGAGGCAGGGGAGCTCTGATTTTTCTGTGATTAAAAAAACAAAAATCTAACACCAAAATTTATGGATAGTTAAAATTTATTTTATTATAATGATTGAGGCACTGGTAAACTTCCAAATTTCTTTAAAATTGTAAGTATATCAATACAACATTGTGTTCAACTGATACCTATATATAGTGGCATTTCATTTTTTTTGTGAAAAAATGTAGATTTGGATTTTTTTTAACGGGAGAATTTGCTATTTTTAAACCAAGCAAACCAGGATCCCTGGTCATCTCCATTCTTTCACAAGCCAGACCCTTTTCCAAAGGAGTATCATAACATGAGAGTATTCATTCCTCTGACCTCCCCCTCCTTTCACCAGCAAATTTTGGGGTGGTTGCAGCTCCCCTGTAGCCCCTGCCCAGCACCACTGTGCACCCTGAATGCAGCCCTGCCCCCACCGGAAAGAGCCCATCCCACCCTGTGCAGATCTGGGGGCACACCGCCCCTGCCCCATGCCCTCCTGGATGAGTGGCAGGAGCAGCGGCAGAAGCTGCCAGATGAGCAGGCAAGTGCCAGATGAGCTGCTGGACCAGCAGCTCCGGCATGAGCAATAGGAGCCGCCTCCCCTCCCCGCATCCCCCAAACAAGCCACGGCTCCGTCCCATGCCCACCCTGCCCCGGCTGGGCAGTGCTTGCCCCAGTCCCAGCCCCACTCCTCCCTCACCGCAGGGGCCTTGATCTGCCCCACACCCCTTCCCTTCTCCTCCTCTTCCACACCACCAAACTTACCAGCTGGATGCAACTCTTAAAGCTGCTGGGCTGGTATCGGAAATCGGATTGGTATTGGCCGATGTGCCTCCTTAAAAATCAACTATTACTATTGGCCCCAAAAATCTGTATTGGTACACCCCTAATGAGCAACTAATGTGCTTTTCTGCAAACTCAGCCATAGAAAATCCAGTGACCCTGGCATCAAACCCATTGCAGATACTTGAATAGAGGCATTTCATTCAGGAAGATCCCTCCAGTCTGGATTTAGAGGTTCCAGATATGGAGCAGGCCAGTTCTACCAATGCTGGCTTACCCCTACTATTAAACTGTGCTCCCATGTCCTCCTTGAGATCATTATATTCATCCCTGGCATTTGCAGTACTTCTACAACAGCACTGGGTGGGGAAGGGTTTGTCTATACACAGATTGTGCCTCCCTGCTGTGGGTGCAGTTGTATCGGAGTAAAAGTGCTTGATATTAGGACAGCTGTTATGGTACCAGAAGAAGTAAAGTAATTTCTATTGAAGAAATTGCATCCACATTAGAGGCTGTACTTAACTGTTCTGAGGAGGGAGCCCATATGGGTTAGGCAGCTGGTCGTAGGCTCCTTCATTATAAATGTGACGTCTGCACCACAATCATGAGCAGCCACGAGTTTGGCCTTGCGGGCAGTGGGGTGTTTTGTTTTTAAACTCCCTTCCTGCTCTTAGCCTCTTGCATTTGTGTTCAGTCCTGGCTCCAGGGGAGCACACTGCACTCTTCTCGCTCCTAATCAGCACAGTGATGGCTCTATGGAGCTGGGAGCAAGATTTATCTCTTTAATAAGATGGGAAGGATCCCTCTGCCGAATGATTCCATCGTGTTCCAGTGAATAAGAGTCTTTTCCCAAACAACCCGGATGAGGTTTGCAGTTAATGGCATGTGCTGACAAATGGATCAGTGCCAGAGCTTCGTGTCCTGGCGATTTTTTTTGTTGTTCTTCAGGCTGTGCTTTGTTTGGGTTTTTGTTGTTATTAGTTTGTTTCTTTTTGTTTTGTGGCATTTTATTCTTTGCAGTGCAGTTTCTTTCAGTGAGAAGCAGATGCAGTGCTGATCCCTGTCCCCCTCGCCCAATTGCCTAGCACAGCCTAACCAATGCTCTGCTGCAATGGAAGAGTCAGCAGACAAAGACCAGGAGTCTTAAAAGTAAAGCACATGCCCAGACACTTGGGTGTCTTCCCTGTTGTGATAGTTTTCAGGTTCAGATCTTGGCCTCTGACTGTCCTGGTGTTAGTCACCATCCATTGGAAGCGTGACCTCTCCCTGTACTGATAGTCTCCTCTGGGGGATTCTCAGCGAGATAGGGGGCAGAAAGACACATGGCACCTCTCACGATTTGACAGTTTGGTTCATTGTGGTGTAGGGCTGAGCTGGGCTCTTCCTCTTCAGGCCCCAGGGACTCACTGACCTTTCCCATAGCTGGGAGGAAACTCTCTGCCTCTGACCTTTTCTCTCTACACCTGGCTGGCTTAATAAGTGCATCCTTCCCAGGCTCTGCTGTGTGATTCTCAAGGAGGACATTTCCCTTTCCCTATAGCGCAGGAGAGCCCAGGACAAGTGGGAGCCTATGTGGCAGTGAGGATTCCCCTCAGTGGGACCTGCATAAGGCCTGTTGTTAATCCTCTGTGGCTCTCCAGTGTGTGACCCTATCCTGTTTCTTCTTTCCTGGAGGAACAGCTCTCCCGTTGTAGGTGGTGCATGTGGCAGCAGCACAGGGAAGGTGCTCTGCTGCCTCTTGTCCAGCAGACAGGCTTTACAATATGAACTGTCATCTCTGCGGCCTTACTGTGGACTTCATGGGCCTGGCCACTGGCCTGGGCTCGGGAGCAGCACTGGAGCTCCCAGTGCTGCTGACTCTCAGGTGGCATGAGCTGCTGTAATGGGATACAGTATCTTCTGGATTGTGGTCCGTGACAGCAGAGTGAGATTCCTTCTGACGTGTGGTGGCTGATCCCATGGCTTGCTGGGGGGAGGGCGGGGAGAGTAGTATATGGAGGCTGCAGCTTACTTGAAGATGTAGTTTCACTGTTTTTGTATGGTGGCATTCTGGCTTTGGTGCTTGGACACTAGCTGTCCCAGCATTAGGGCCCTTTGGACAAGGCAGTATTACCTACCCCTGGTGGCAACTTGCAGGGCTTGTCTAGTTCTCTTTGCTATGATCTGGCTGCTGTGAGGCTTTTTTCTGCCAGGCGCATGTTATTAGAATCAAATTCTTTTTGGTTGGCCTGCGGGTAAAGATTAAAATACAGTTAAACTCCAGGAGTTAAATGCTGCGTGCCTCCAGATGAGATGGAGCGCCCTGGGGCTGGTCTTCTCCCTGAGTCCTGGGGCACCAGGCTGTGTTTGCCCACCCTATTCCTCTCCTTTCCAGCTGACAAGTGCACCAAAGCCTCTTCTGCTTTCTCTTTCAGGAGAAGGTCCTGAATATGGGGCCAGTGGGGAAGATGCCCTTACCAGGATCCAGCGGCTGATGGCTGAGGGTGGCATGACCGCTGTGGTCCAGCGAGAGCAGAGCACCACCATGGCGTCCATGGGTGGCTTTGGCAACAACATCATTGTGAGCCACCGGATTCACCGCAGCTCTCAGACAGGGGTGGAGTCCACCGGAGCTGATGGCACCACAGCACAGCAGTCCACCTCGCACCAGCTGGCAGCTGAGCTGGAGGGCCGAATCCTTTCCGAATCCATGCAACTGTCAGAACATGGCCTGAGCCCGCGGACAGCCTCTGGTGGGAGCGAAGGTCAAGGAAGCGATGGGCAGGACCTGCCAGAGCAGGCCCAGTCCTTGATGGACACGGAGGGACCAGTTGAATACAGTGACCTAACTAATAATAACCATCTTCCTGACAGTACCAACTTCTCTAGTACCGACAGCACCAGTGGGGGGTCGCGAAACAGGTAGAGAAGAATTGTATGTTGGTGCTACCCTTGTACTGCTCAGCAGAGACCTGTACCTCACAGCTGGCCAGGAGTTGGAAGAATAGTGGGGGTGGGGGACTGAGGCTCTGACAAGATTTTGGTTGTTTAGAGGACATCTGTACTGGGGAAGGGGGGAGGGGGAGGAATGGGGAATGGAAGGGCAGTCGTCAAATCTTTAGGGGCAGTAAGGGGGAAGAAGCTTTATTCTCTTAGCTCCCAGTGCCCATGTTTTGCTGCACAGTTTCTACAAGAACATTGACCAGCCCTACCAGTGTTTGGTTGAGCCTTGTGTCCTTCGGCAAGCCACTGTAATCTCCTTAGCTTGGCCCTAACCCTGCAGTGCTGTGAATGTTTCCCTCTCTAAAACAGTTAGTTTCTCCTTCCTTCCTCCCACCCACCAGGATCGATCAGGCAAGGGCCTGCAGCATCCCCCCAGGGACAAACCACATGATTGGATGTCCAGTATTGATTGCCCCAGTGGTGTTGGAGTGGAGGAGTCTTCCAGGCCTGAGTCCCACTCCATGGCATTGAACTGGTGCCCCTCCAGGATATGGAGCATTTTAGTAGCTTGAAAAAACACTATTCCTAGCCAGTTGGCAGTTTTCAGTGGGCTTGAGCTGGAACAGAAGCCAGGCTTGGACTTTAGTAGTCACTGTGCTCTGGAACCTTTCAAAAGTGAAGACCTGAGTGTCAGCTTAAGTTTGTGATTGGGAACCTGACTGGAGCTGCCACAGGTGAGGAAAGGGAATCAGGGCTAGGTGTGCAGGGATGGCTCCCTAGTAAAGATAAAGTTTACTCAAGGGTAATCTAGTAGTTCATGCACCCAGCTGTGCCAATATTAATGAGCCATCCTGGCAGTATTGCAGTGCCAGGACTGGGTTGCACTTCCTCAGTAGGTGGCAGGGAGGGTTTCTCAGCTCTAGGTCAGGGTGTGAGGTATGGGTCTGTGATGTACGGTGTTGCATGTGAAATCTTGACCTTGTACATGTAGTTTCTAGTGGAGAAATCAAGGCTCTGATACTTTTGTTTTTAGTCTAAAATGTGATTTTCCTTTTCGTTTGTAACTCTCCCTCCTCACAGACTTTGTGGCAGGAGGGTGGGGGGGAGAGTGTGAGTGCTAACGAGGGAAACACCAAAGATCAATGTCATTAAAACATGACAAACCCTTTTCTGGCCTGCTGTCTTTTCTTGGTGAGTGTGTCTGAGTGCTTGGTCATGGCAAGGTCCCTTCTGGCTTAGAGGCTGCAAGTGTCTTATGAATGTGCAAACCCTGCATCCTCCTTCCCCATCAGGAAGAAGGGTACAGGCTAATGCCTTTGAGGTAGGTAGGCCTAAGGCCCGAAAGAGTTGCTTTCAGAGGTGGGGCTATTGCTTCAGAGTCCTGTTTTGATCACAAGGCAGCTACACATACACACCTCTGCTCTCCCAGTGCCTCCTACAGCAAAGAAAAGGATGTATTCCCCCTCCCCCTCTGCAATCCTGCTACAGGGACATACCCCCTCCCTCGGAGTAGATGGTTATCTGTTTGCCAGCCTCCTGTGAAGGGGAGGAGAGCTGATTTCCTGCCTATTCCAGAAGGTGCTCTCCACCCCCCCCCACCTCCACGGGTGGGAAGGATAACCACTTGCTGGGAGGTGCCTCTCCCCTTCTGTATCTGAATAATTGCCCAGCACCTGTCAGGAGCTGCTCTCCTCCTCCTGCCTGTCAGTCAAGTCTCAGCACCACGAGAGCGCCACAATAAATAAGGTAGTCATTAAGCAGCACTCCAGCTCCCAGTCAGAAGAGTCTGTTGAAGAACATTAAGCAAATCTTCTCTTAAATCACAGCCTGGAAATGAACCTTAAATCAAATCAGGCACTGCCAGGCCCCGTTGTAGGGTGCTAATCGGAGTCTAAAACCCACCCTGTGCCAGTTGCATTTCTGACCTCATGGGTGATCCAGCCTGAAAATGGGATTTTCTTCTGTGGGATGAAGGCTTCACACATGCTGGTCCTACCTCCATGCAGGCTGCACCAGGAATGTGCTGAGAGCCTGAGTGTGTGCGGCCCCACTAAGCCAGACCCTTGCTCAGTAAGTGCAGGCACTAATGTAAGCTCAGTGTCCATGGTTATATGTGCTCCTCCCCTTGGAAGTGGATGGGAAAAGGAGGCAGGATACCACACTAATCTCTCCCAAAGGAACCCTGGGCATGTTATTGATAGGAGAGTGCCTTGCACACAGCCCTTGGAGACCTCCATCCCCACAACCTTCAGGAGGAGGCTTGACAATCACCTGGCTGGGGTCGTCTGACCTCGGTCCTCTTTCCTGCCAGGGACAGGGGGTCGGACACAATGATCCGTTGGGTCCTTTCTGACTCTGTAATCTATGAAACTGGGGGCCAACAGGCAGAGGAGATCCTCATATGCATAGGAAGAGATAATCTTGGTCTGGTTTTCTCCAGTCATGTCTGGTTCATGAGAGCCAGACCTGTCTTTTTCCTGTGGCAATCAAGCCAGGTCGTTGTCCTGCAGCTGTATAAAAGGGCTGACAACTCAGTCAGCTATTGTGTGCGCTGCTCCTCAAAGTCCTACAACCATTGAAATCAATGGCAAAATTTGCAGTAGGAGCAGCAGCAGCTCCCAGCTTCTCTGTGCAGTCAAAACGGACTACCGCCTTTGTATGTTGAAGCTACTTTTCTTTTGGAGAGCCTCTAACTAAAGCTTCCTGCAGGTTTTGAAAACCAAAAGGTCCAGTGGCTGTAGTAAGTCAGACCTGTTGACAAGCTTTTTTCCACTTCTCTGAAGTCTTCTTGCCAAATACAGCTCTGTTCCTGAGGCAGCTGAGGTTGCAAGAGGCTGTGGTTGATGTGTTTTTTACATGCCTGGAGTGAAGGTGATGGCATTGATGGATAAGCCAGTTTTGCAACTCATCTGCCCTTCAAAAACTTTTGGAGAGTTGGACTGTTGCTGGGAAATCTTTGGGTTAAGAAGTTCAGAACCCTGTCAGCAGGAGCTCCATCAGTGTAAGAAAATGCTGATCTTAAGCCTACACAAGCCAACAGCATTTTACTGTAGTTCCCACAGACAAAAGATCTGCAGACTGCAAACACTCTTAAAAGGAGGCCCAAGCCCCTCCCATAGTGGTGAGAAAGGAGGGAGAGCTGGGAGATGCGAGGAACCTGGCATTTGTGACAAAGGTGAGTAGATTTGTTCTTTCCCAGAGAATCTTCTCCCATGACATGAAACCTCTCCCCTCCCTGCACAACTTCAGCCCCTTAGGAGTGTTGTGCCCACCTGCTCTTTGCTTACACCGTTCTTTAGCTACAGGCTGTGTTGACTAGACCTGTCCTCTCCAGACTTGGGGACCTCAGTAAATCCTGGGACCATTGTAGATACTGGTCCTACTCTTTCCCTTGGACAGACTTTAGTGCTGTGAAACTGGTGAGGACTCCTGGGCTGTGGAGTGGCCAGCAAAGGGAAGGAGGAGGGAGCCTCATCTGCTTGAATCAACCACACTACGGGAGGCTTTGGAAATTGCACAGCAGGGTCCCTTGTAGCTGATCCCCATGGCATAAGTTCAGGGTTCAACAGTGTCCTTAATGAGACCTGCCAGGGTTTCCCCATGTTCTAGTAGCCCCTTCAGGAGAAGACCTGCAGTCAGAGTGAGGAGTAGCTACCTTCAGTGAGGCACTGCTCACAAACACTGTTCTGAATGGAAAAAATACCCCTACTGGGGCTACACATGAGATGCTCTCTTCTACCTACTGTCCTGTTATTTCAACCGGTGCTGCCTGAAGAAACCATGCTGCAGCCATGCACCTTCCCTGGCCTTGTTTGGCTGGCAAAATGAAAGCTCTGCTGCTTGAGAGCAGAAAATAATCTGAGAACCAGCAGCTTGTTTTGGCTGTGGCCTGCCAGGTGCCTTTAGAAGAGCAAACAGAGTCCTGATGAAAAAAGAAGCCGGGGATAGAACATACTTAACTTTTCAAAAGGCTTTTGAGAAAGTCGCTCACAATAAGCTGTTAAAGAAACTTGGTCACCTTGGGGGTGAGAGGGAAAGTTCACTTGTAGATTAAAACGGTTGGCGATATGAAGCGGAGTCAGAATAAATGGCCAATTCTCAGCATGGAAAGAGGTTAATAGTGGGTTGGCCCAAGGATCAGTAGGAGGTTCATGTTCTATAAACGTCTTAATGAGCTGGAGGGGGAGGATGGGAAGGTGGGGGAGTGCAAGGTGGCAGGATTTGCTGAAGATGCAAAATTATTTAGGTTAGGTGAGAAGAGGGAAAAAGCCAGGGAGATTGGCACTGGGAAAACATGGCAAGAAGCGGGCATTTGGCGATGCCTACCAGGAACTGTGTACTGCCAAGGCAGCTTTAGAATAAGCAGGCCTTATGTAGTGTGCTGGCCTGTATGGATGCTACAGTGATGGGTGCTTGCAAGCAGGGGGACAAGAGGGCATTAGATGGCATTAGGGACTGTTTCCTGATAGCTGATTAAATAGTGATGAGCAGCAGTGAAAGCTGGAGCTCCTAGCTTGCTTGTGCGGAAGCCCTGTGGGGTGAATAAGCAGATGGCAGGCCCCTGCCCACTCCCTCCCACGCTGTGGCCTGACAGTTCTCTCCTCTCTCCTCTTCCATCTTTTGCTTTCTTCTTCCTCATCCGCTCTTTCTGTGCATTATTCTTTCCCTGTTGACTTGCTTCTTTCTTCTGTCCCAGTAGTTCTGCTTCTCTCTGCACTAAGGCTACAAGTGATGGGGGGGGGGG